CCTTGAGCTGAAGAGCTGAGGGACAGCGCCCAAGCCCAGAGTTCAAGCCCCACGACTGACCAAAAAAAAAAAAAAAAAAGCTACATTTTTTTTGGTGTGAAGTCATCCTTATACAATTTTGGGTGTGTGTATGTACCATTACTGGGGCTTGAATTCGGGCCTGATCACTGTCCCTCAGCTTCTTCACTCAAGGCTAGCATTCTATCGCTTGAGCTCTGTCACTATTTCTGGCTTTTGCTGGTTAATTAGAGATGAGTCTCAGATTTGTCTGTCCTGCCTGGCTTTGAACCTCAGTCTTCAGATCTCAGCCTCCTGAGCCACCAGTACCTGGCTACAAAATGTGTTTGGCTTTTGCTTTTTTGTTGCTGATCCTAGGTCTTGAATTCAGGGCCTGCACACAGGTCCCTGAGCATTATCTGCTCAAGGCTAGCAATCTACCACTTGAGCCACACCCGCTTCCAGCTTTTGGAGTGATTAATTGGAGCTAAGAGTCTCACAGACTTAAAGCCTCAAAACTAGCATTAAAATAAAAAGCTTTTCTGAATCATAGAATACATAAGTAAATAAATTGTGTGTGTGTGTGTGTATACACACACATTTTTTTTAAAGACTCAGATTTTCCTGCCCAGGCTGGCTTTGAACCACTATCTTCAAATCTCAGCTTTCTGAGTAGCTAGAATTACAAATGTGCACCTCTAGCACCTAGCCTCAAATGTGTGACAAATACTTAATTGAAAATGTTTCCCCTCTCTGAGATGGGTTTCCTTTTGTAGCTGAGTCTGGCCTCAAACTTACCAGGTAGCCCGTACTGGCCTAGAACTTGAGATCCTAATACCCCAATCTCTTTAGTACTAGGATGACAAGTGTGTAACACCATGCCCCACTTGAAAATAGGATTCTTTTCTTTAAAGCTTTCATATCAACTTTAGTCTCAGAGCTGACCTCCATGTGTATCAAATGCCCACATCTCTTCAAACTGTTGTACAAATCATATTCCTTACGTGTACCAAAACTCATACTCAACAATGATCTGGGGGCTGGGAAGGTGGCTCAGTGGTAGAGCGCTTGTCTTGCATGCATGAGGCCCTGGGTTTGATTCCTCAGCACCACATAAGCAAAAAGAAAAAAGCTGGAAGTGGCGCTGTGGCGCTAGCCTTGACCTGAAGAGCTGAGGGACAGCGCCCAAGCCCAGAGTTCAGGCCCTACGACCGGACCCCCCCAAAAAAAAACAATGATCTGGGCTGCAAAAGAATTTACTGTTGGTCCCTATCTATGTCTTTGTTACAAATTAAAGACACACAAAAATAGAAAAAAAGTTACTAACAGAAAAATACAGCTACTTAAAACCTGTCATTATATTAAAAAATATCCATTTTATCAAGTAAATTCTGTTTTTTTGTGTACTAGATTTGTGTCATAGATTTGATCATATTGTACAGTTTTGGTAAGTCAACAGAAAACTTCAGGGAAAATTTACAAACTTTCAAAAAGTAGAAGCACTGAATTCAGCCAGTCTTACTACATAAAGATAACCACTATTGAAGAGAAAATTTTATTTTCTTTAATGGGCACAAATATCTCCTCATTGAACAATGGTAGTTTATGCTTTTAAAGAACATTCCCAGTTCCTCTAAGTTTTGAAGTTTATTGATGTAAAGTTGATAATGCCCCTTAATGCTTAGATTAAGCTGTTCGCTCTTCTTATTCTTGGTGTCAGGGATTCTTTTTCCTGATGTACTTGCCGTGAAGTTTATCGGTTAATTGATGCCCAGACCTGGCTGTTGATTTGTTGACACTCTTTGTTTTTTGGTTTCTGTTGATCAATTTCTGCTCTTGTATTGCATCTTTTTTTTTTTGCTTTCAATGTGTTAATTTGTTTTTCCTCTAGTTTCTTGAGGTGGAAGCTATATATATTTTTTTCCTAAAACAAGTATTGAATATTGTAAAGATTTCTGCAAGTCCTTAAGCACTGCTTTAGAGGTGTCCTATGAATCTGGAGATGTTGTTTTTCATGCTGTTAATTCAGAATAGTTTGATTTTCATTTTGATTTCATTTTTTTCTTTTCTTTTTTTGGTTGGTTGTGGGGCTTGAACTCTGGGCCTGAGTGCTGTCCAGAGCTCTTCAGTTCAAGATGAGTGCTCTATCACTTGAGCTACAGTGTCATTTCTGGTTTTCTGGTGGTTTATTGGAGATAAGAGTCCCACAGACTTTCCTGCCCAGTCTGGCTTTGATTTCATCTTTGACCTGTGAGATAATTTTGTGTGTGTGTGTGTGTGTATTTGTGTGTTTGTGTTGGTCCTGGGGCTTGAACTCGGGGCCTGGGTGCTGTCCCTGAGCTTCTTCTCAAAGCTAGCACTCCACCACTTGAGCCAGAGCTCTACTTCCAGCTTCTTTTGTCATTACAGGTAAGTCTCATGGATTTTTCTGCCCAGGCTAGCTTCAGATCTCAATCCTCAGATCTCAGTCTTCTGGAGTAGCTAGGATTATAGGCGTGAGCTTTTGGTGGTGACATAATTGCAAGTGTGTGGTTCTCCAAATTTCAGATATCTTTTTAACATGCATGTCTGATTTAATGTCATTGTGATCAGAGAACATTTTTTTCAGGGCCTTGCACGCCCCTGCCAAGCAAACACTCTGTGGCTAAACTATCCTCCGCTTGAAAGCATACTTCTTATGATTGAATTTTTTTTTTAACATTTACTGAGACTTTAATTTTGACCCAGAATATGGTCTATCTGGAAAATGTTCTGTGCGCACTTCTGAAGACTGTATTTTGCTGTTGTTGTAGATATTCTGTGAAAAGTCACTTAACTAGGAAGTGTCTTCTTGACTTAAAAAGCAGGAAACATTACACAGTTGCCACCATACACCCCCCTTTTATTTTATTTTTTGGTGAAGGGGCTTGAACTCAGGGTCTGGGCCCTAACCCTGAGCTCTTTTACTCAAATAGGGCTCTCCCACTTTGAGCCACAGCTCAACTTCTGGTTTTCAGGTGGTTAATTGGAGATAACCAGTTTCACAGACTTTCCTGCCTAGTCTGGCTTCAAACCACAGTCCTCAAATCTCAGCTTCCTGAGTAGCTAGGATGACAGGTATGACTCACCAGGGCAGGCCCAATTACCATTTTTGATGTTGTTTTATGTTGTGATATATGGATCTAGATTTCCATCTGGGACCACTTTCCTTTTTTTTTTTTTTGCCAGTCCTGGGGCTTAAACCCTGGGTACTGTCCCTGACTACTTTTGCTCAAGACTAACACTACGACTTGAGCCACAGTGTCACTTCAGGCCTTTTCTGTTTATGTCATACTCAGGAATGGAACCCAGGGCTTCATGCAAGCACTCTACCACTGAGCCACATTTCTGGCCCCCATTTTGAATGAAGAGTTTCTTTACTATTTTTGTAGTGTTCTGCTGTTGATGAGCATGCTCTTTCTGGCTGTGTGAGGGCCTGTGGGAGTTGTTCTGCCTGTCCACATGGGGTGGGTTTTTTTTTGCAGCTTTGGGTGGTTTTTCTAGTGAGCAGTACTAAGCTAAACACTAAAAAAGTAAATCTGTCTGTGGGGTTCTGAGTCACACTTTTTGCAGCTTTCTCCTCATGGTTACTCTGCCCCATGAATTTAGCCATCTTCATTTCTGTGGGCTCCCAGCTCCTTTTTAACCCAGGCAGACTTTGAACTCTATCTGGATTTCTTGTCATCTGGCAACTTGCAAACCATACGATGAAACAGTCATGTGTATTTCTTCTCATTGCTGCCCATGCTGCCTTCATTTTATGTCTGAAATTATCCTTTATTTATTTATTTATACTTTTTTAAAGAAAGATGAATCCAGTCCATGTTACTCTGTTCTTCAGCATCTTTAAATGTCATATTTTTATGGATAAAGTTTTTGAAGTTGTTCATCCTATATATACAAATTGCTTTATACTTTTTTACTTGATAATATGTTGTAGCTTTTCTGTGTTTTACTACTAATAAAGTTGTAGATTGAGTTAGAAGTATCTAGAAACATACAGGTGCTTAGTCTTATGTTAACTGATATTGAGATTATTTCACTGTTTTATTATGAAAGCATCAGGCTGATGTTCTACAAGTGCCCAATGTCTTGATTATAGTGCTCCTGATATGGAAGAAATATTGGCTGAATCAGAAATTAAATTGGATGGTGTCAGACAAAAAATACTGCAGGTAGCCCAAGAGCTATCAGGAGAAGACATGCACCAATTCCATCGAGCCATTACCACAGGTAAGTCTAGGTTTACTAAAGTGGTTACATTTCCTCTTAGAGTTAATTTTGCCGCGGACCGGGTTCTGTCGGGACGACGGAGGACACCTAGGGGAGGAACCTGGAATGGGGGGGAGATGGCAAACAGACAACTCACACACATTAGGAGTGGATGCTGAGTGCTGAGTGCAATTTAATGCAGAGGATAACAAACTTTTATAGCAAAAAGTCTCCATAAGAAAGGGCAAAAGGTTACACAATCTTGCTGCAAGGCTTCGTTCTTGGATGGTCACCAGCTGGTCGCCTGAAAGGGCAAAAGTTTACACAATCTTGCTGCAGGGCTTCATTCTTGGGTGGTCACCAGCTGGTCGCCTGAAAGGCACTTGTTTCCGGCTTATCTCTAAGAAATATAATAGGTTTTGATGTTTGTCACCATCTAACCATTACCTTATTTCTATAGAGGCCTTAATTGTCCCATAAGATATTTCCTGTTCCTTCTTTAATAGTAAGGTCATGGAGGCCTAGATCTAGCAAGTCTCTTAGTAAATGAAAGAGAGTAACAGGAAGTTCTTTCTCCTAAGTAGTTATCTCAGCAATTGCCATACATTCCTTCTGTTCTAGTCGTCCTACAGCTTCTTGCAACTCTCTTACAAACAATTCCTTCTGCTGAAATGACTTCGTGAAACCCCCAATACTTTTATATTTGCTTATGGCTTGTCTACTAGCCTCCATAAGAGGGGTTTCAGGGTAGCACTTAACTCTGGTGAGTTAGTCATATTTTTAAGACACTCATCAGATATTGGAGTCATTAACACTCTTAAGAAAGAGCTTTGAATAAGGGAACATTGACAATGAATAAGTACGATGAACAGCAGAAACAGTAAAAGATTAATAGGCACTCTTATACAGTGAGGAAAAGAAAGGCAGAAACACATCTTTCCCAGGGGTTTGCCAGCCTTTTTCCAGGAGTAGGCCTCTTAGAAGCCCTATTCTCCGAGGTAGACTTCGGTGAAGTCCCAAAACTTGGAGATAGGTTTCTGTAAAGCCCCATTCTCTGAGGTAGACTTCGGTGAAGTCCCCAAACTCAGAGATAGGTCTCTGAAGCCCCTATCTTGGTCTGATAGCTGGTTTCCCATGCTAAGCAGACTCCACTGGAGTTGGCGTGGCATAATTTGCTGCATAATTAATACCAATTATTGATACCTGGTGATATAGTATTGTTAGCTTTAGCTTAAAAAAAAAGCTGTGACTTGTGAGTAAGAAAAGGTAGTCCAAAAGCATTCAGTTGGCTTTATTTTTCTAACTGTGTAATAATGATTACTGGTTGATTTATTTATTTATTTAATAAAGTGAATGAAACCAGACACTAATGAGCTTTTCTCTTTAGTGTGTAGTGTGTATTCATTTAGGTGGAGCTCATGTCGTTTTTAACTACAATGAATCTTACTGGTGGCTCTGAAGCTCCTACTTTGATAGGTTCACAATAAGAGATACGTGACTTAATGAGGTTAGCCCAGACATCTCATGGCACATTAGAATCGGGAGATGTTAGGATGATAGTGCTAGGGTGTCCAGAGAGCCAGGCACTGTTGGCTCATACCTGTAATCCCAGCTACTCAGGAGGCTGAGATAGGAGGGTTGTGGTTCAAAGCCAGCCATGGCAGGAAAGTCCATGAGACTCTTACTCTAATTAACTACCAAAAAGCCCAAAGTGGCGTTGTGCCTCTAAGTGGTAGAGCACTAGCCTGAAGCACAAAAAGCTCAGAGACAGTGCCCAGGCCCTAAGTTTAAGCCCCAGAACTGGCATCACTCCCCCTTCCCCCCCAAAAAAAAGTGACCAGGAAGTGCTGGAACTTCATGGAATCACTATTTTCAGATGAGTTAAGTATGAAAAATTACCAGTTCTTCCTTGTGTGTTCTTTCCTTAACATGACTTGACAGGAAGTACTCAAACAACTCAGATGAACCCTAGGATTTGCAGAATGACTGGGACATGAGTTGACCTCGTATCTGTGCCATAAGTATCTCCAGTGTTAGTCTAATCTCGTAATTCCAGACCTTGCTTTTAGGAATGTTGAAGTGTCTTGTTGGAGGCATTGTGTATGCTGTTAAATGTAAGGTATGTATGAGGACTGAACTGATAGCTTGGATGGTTCATGGTGCAGTGTTGAGGACTGCTGCAAAAGGAAGCAGAAGAAACACTAGAACTTGCCAGCAGAAACTTTTTGAAAAGACTACCAAAGGCATAGAAGAGAGACTTGACAGACTGGGAGAAGATCTTTTACCAGCAATACATCCAACAAAGGCCTAATATCCAAAATATACAAGGAGCTCAAGAAATTAATCCCATCCAAAGCTAACCAATCACTAAATGGCCAAAAGAGCTAAGGAGAAACTTCTCAGAAGAAGAATAAGAATAGCATCGGTTTGAGGAAATACTCAACATGTAGCCATAAAGGATATGCAAATCAAAACAACTTTGAAGTTCTCACCCCAGTTAGATTGGCTAGCAGTGTGAATTTGAACAACAAATGTTGGTGTGAATGTGGGGATAAAGGAACCTTATTGCACTGTTGGTGGGAATGTGAACTAGTGCAACTGTTCTGGACAACAGTCTGGAGGATCCTCAAAAAACAAAATATAGACCTTCCCTAAGACCCAGTCATACCACTCCTGGACATCTACTTAGAACATCACAAGCCAGGATACCATAAAGACACTTAAACATCTATGTTCATGTTTGCACTATTCACAACACACAAATTATGGAAACAGCCCTATAATAGATGATCAAAAAAATGTGGTACCTATACACAATGGAATTTTACACAATCATTAGAAAGAATGTCATTTCCAGGGAAGTGGATGGACCTAGAACAAGTCATGTTAAGTGAGGTAAGCCAGGCTTACGTTTTTTCTCATATGCAGATGCTGCATCTAAAATACACTGGGACAATAAATTATATAGCACTCTAAGCATTCACATACAATGAGATGAAAGGAGGAAAATCTTAGGGGTGGAACACACAGGCACAATGCCTCTGTGCCTCTGGTCATATAATATCAAAATGAATTCTAGGAAATGCAAATAAGAGTTTTTCTTTTTGTCTTGTTTGTGCATTTGTCTTGTCTTTTTTTTTTCCCTTCGGTCATGGGGCTTGAACTCTGGGTCTGGGTGCTGTCCCTCAGCTTTTCAGCTCCAGCTTTGAGCATCAGCCTTGAGTAAAAAAGCTAAGTCAAGGTAGAGCATGAAGCCCTGAGTTCAAGCCCCAGTACTGGCACTAAAAATAAATAAGTAAATAAATACTTCTTTCTGTCTGCCTCACCATTTCTTTTTTTTTTTTT